TATATATATATATATATATATATATATATATACAAACATAGTTATGTAGGTAGACAGATAGATAAATAGATAAAAATTATAAACATACAACACCTCTGGATTCCTATCGAACATCAAATTCATATCGATCCTATGCCTACGCATCAACCTCATAGCGTCTTTATACTCTCCGCTTTCAAAGCATTCTTCTAGTTTCTTTAAAACTAGAGAACGGAGGTGAATCGTTTCCAAGTTGCCTACAATAGTGGAAAAGAAGATGAGTTCGCACTTGCGGACCCCAAGGTAAAAACTAAAAAAAAACCTCGAGGCATTTCAAGCCAGACTCGTGTTCCAAAATTCTCATGTCCAATAATAACCGCACCCTGTTCAACGGTTCGACCATTTACAAGCAAACAAGAAAGTCTTGTTTCTACTAGTTTTTGCACTTCTACCGTATATAATTTACATGTTGCAGAACCTGTCGGCAACAAGAGCAGGAGAAGGAATTCATCGTCAACGCTATATGACCCAACATTGCGACAGACTTCTTGTCCATTCCACAAAAGAACGTTGTCCTTCGTTAACCCAATAATGGAATTCTGCAACTGCCAATTAACATAACATTGTACTAAATTTATGATCAAAAAGTACTTTATTGAATGCACTCGCCAAGTATCTTGCGAAAAAGCAGTCTGCAAAGACAGCACAAATATGCAGCACTTACTGTGAAAACTTTGTTTGAAAGTAAAACTGAGTAAAAGTTAAAAGGTGTTTTGTGGCCCTTACTCGATTTAACTATTACACTAACACGGCGTTTTTAGCCTAGTTTTACCTACAGTTTTAGGCAAATAACGGCAGGAAAATAGCCGTTCGCTGTTTGACGTCCAGAGTGGTTTAGTACTTTCCCTTATCGGCGAAATAACCTCTTCACTTAGAGCCACAGCACTCCACCCACTTTCCACTGTTTGAACCAAAAGCCCTTCTGAAACACGCCTGTGGCACAATACTGGATCATCAGATCGATGGACCACCAAACTGGAAGTAACTGTCCAAACTTTAGCAAAAAAATTACCACTGAATTTTGAAAGAAACAAAAAACGAACTAGAAAAAGTGACCAACCATTTGTGCGGTTCATTCAAAGATATTTCAATAATATTATAAGTACAAGTTTTCCCGGATAAACAAGCAACCATGGTAAATGTGCCGTCCTCGTAATAATGCAAATCATAACACACCGAGGACTTCGGAACTGTGTTGACATCTATTATGTACTCGTGGTCAAAACACAATTTCCTGTCCACACGTCTAACTGTAAAGTAAAAAATATATCGAAACTTAATGGTACAAATAACTGCTTTTGTTGGTGAAGGGCACCAGGTAAATGCACGAGGTAAATGCAGATGAAGTAAAACTTCTACAGCAAGAAAACATTAAAATTAGTCCTCATCCCGATATTCCCAAGTATACTTTCGCAAGACCTAAACATCGCATCCAATATGTTAAGTATTGTTAATATTGGGTTGGAATAGAACTTTTTTCGTTTTCCAGACCACTTACTTTGGCACTTTATAAGAAGAATAGTTAAAATTTAGGCTACAATGTACAAGCCATCATTACTGGCGATACCCCGCCATCTACCAGAAATTTCGAACAGCAGTAGAAGTGGGACCATCTTCCTTTCAAATTTTCCAACACCCATCCAAATAAACTCTAATCCAAAGAAACACAGCCTGATCCATTACCCGACAAGAAAGTTTCTCCCACATAGATTTCTAAACCACTTCCAGAACCGAATCGACTTTCGGCTTAGTGCTATTGTACTTCAAAAAACTTTTTTTTTCTTTCCTTCTCGCATGTCCTACTTCCTTTCAGTACTTCAGCTAAATAGCTTATTCTTGAAAGTATGCTATTGAGATAGCCGTTTAGGCATTTTTCAAAAGTTAGCAGAAACAAAAATCTTTCTAGCGCACCAAATGTACAATCCGTACTTCCTACGTTAACTTTACGCCTTGCAACAATTTCTGCTTTGTCTGTAGAGTGTCCATCATGCCTCGACCATAAAGATAAAAGCATTTCTTACCCCCTTTTTAACAATCTTCATAGCATCATCAAGTGTAGAGAAGAACTGATGTTTAAACCCCGTAATTTAACGAATTCTGGAAGCCGATAAAGCAACCAGTTTTCTAAATTTTTTTTCTACCGCACCTCGTATAAAATCTTACCAATCACTGACTGGCTAAAATCCAGGTTTACGGCCATACTCTTCGTATTTTACTACTCTAGTACAAGATTTTAAATCCAACTCTTCCGTTATTTAGGAATGCGTTTTACCTTCTAACCTTCAAAGTCATTCTAAATGACACAAAATACTTACTATTAGCACCTCAAACTTCAATTTCGGTCCCACTTCTTCTTTAACAAAAGTTCCAAAGCAGATAAAGCCAGAAAACGTCATCTCAAAAACTTTCTTATTTTTCATTCGAAAAGAACCAGAAAGAAATACCCTTTGCATCCTGAATTTAAATGAAGAAAATAAATTTTGATTAGATCCGAGGAAAGTTACGAGCGGAAAAGAAACAATTAAAGAACTTTTTTGCCAACCTAATATTAACCCCAATATTTATGAGGGCGAAAAAAGTCCCGCGCAGAAAGGGATTTTAGAGTTCACCAAAAAACTGTTAATAAGCTTAATAATAGAGTAAAAAAGCCCTATAAACCAAAAAAGGTGTAAAACTTCCTAATAATATACCTACAGAAGAGCAGCTGATGAGTTGAAAGTAAAAACACAGCTCCGAAGGAGGACTGCGCCACTTCACACACAAAGGATGCAAACTGGTAGGAGTAATGGAACATTGGAGGAGGAACAGGTGCCAGAAACAAGTCGGTAAAACAAACTGTTCTCGGAACTAAAATGACCTTTTCGTTCACTTGGGCTCAAATCTTACCCGTATGGGAAAAAGTTTATTTACCTTACCATCAAAAAAAATAACGCTCATATCGCAAAAGTCGTAAGCAAATTCGAAATCGATAAATAATGTGTCACCAGACACAGTAACCAGCTGGAAGCTCATCCCTTCCTCAGAATTCCACTCTCTATATAAGACCTCCTCTTCCACTGGTAAACAGTATTTTAACTGCCATTTATAATTATTTCTGCACCAAAACTGAACTAAAATAGCATTTATCAAAGCAATAAAAAACACAAAATTCTCCCTCTTAATGAGCCAATAATTATACCAAAGAGTTAGAAATTTATAGTACGCACTTCTATGTAAGGTCCTGGTAAGAGTCTTCAAATCAACCGCTAGGATGTCACAGTTCATATTCCAGCATAACCATGAGACGTACTTATCTGCTTTGCCAGTCTTATCAGACAAAACTAACTGAGAACGTTCCTGCCCATTCTTTTCAAAAAAAATAATCTCTGAACTTCCTTTCAAAAGGCGAGTAATCGCAATCAAACCACCAGTAGGCCTAAAAACATAGGAGTGTCAAGAAGCGTCCAGTCTCTGAAACTGTTCCGTCTTAAAGAAAAAGTTTTTTGATAACAGGGAAGGGAGATGAACACTATCCAATATCTTTATCAGAATTAGACGAACAATATGGATTATGATGCTTTGGAAAGGAAAAATACCCTGAAAAAGACTGAGACTTCAGATGAGTTTGGAAAATGCAGCAGTTACTCATGTTTTTATGACCCACAATAATAAGATTCACAAAAAACGTACTTGAATGCAATAGGACTTCCCGCTCCTTCAACAAACTCTAATCGACTCAAGAGGTCACCTTCATCACTCCAGACAAAAAAGCTTCTAGTCAAAGTTTCAGTTTTCACGCAGCTGACACCGAGAAATCTCGCATCACCACTCCAAGAGTATTCAACACTCTTCTTATCCCACTCAAAAATAGGGGTTTCTGCCTTACTATACGCATCCTAAATCAAAGTAACCATTCAAAACTGCCCTTCACTAAATCTACCAGTTTTATTTACCAGATTGCATATTCGGTTACCAGATCCTACAACTTCCAGCCGAAAAGCCAATCGTAGTATATATACATTAGAATAAAATTATACGATTCTAAAAGTTCCAGAAAGAATGTGGCTCACCAAAGAAAATACAAGAAAATACTGGTGGTTGAATCTATAACATAATAAACATACTTTCAGCACTTTCCGGCCAGTAGAACCTTGAAACTGAGTTGCTTTAGACCCCCATCCAACTGTTACTAGTCCTTCTAAATGTTAAGCATAATTAAGATTAAACAGATAACAATCTACAAAAGCAAAAGTCTTTTATAAACAAAATCATATCAAAGAGACAGCGTACCACTTCTAAAGTACTTTAAAAAGCTTCAGTTATAAGAGTGGCATTAGTCATGAAAAGAAGAACGCACTGCCTCCCCGCCCCTTCTGAACTAATTTTGGCAACCAATACACTGGACAAGAAAAAATCAAACAAATCATGGACGAAAAATTAGCAAACCAATAAAATGTATTAGTCAAATAAGGGTTAATGAGTAAGTATCGAACCTAGGCATCATAAACAATAACCTCCATCCAATGAAAAGATAACAAAAACCTGCCTGTCCCAGCTTTTGATGGAATGAGTAAATCCTCCTTTACCAGTACGAAATTCCGAGAAAAGAAAAGGATCTTACTAGGCGAGTTCAAAACCAAAGTGTGAAAATCGGGAGCCCATGATGAACCTGATATTGCTCTGACCTCCAAACAGCGGATTTCAAACTAAACTTCATTTATCACTTGAAGGCAAAAACCAAAAAAAGCCATGACCAGTTAACCAGTTCTCAAACACAACAGTCTTTCACGATTAATGAAACTATGACAAACCTCAAAAGTATCTGAATCGACCAATAAAATTAGACCACTTCGGAATATTGCGCAGAAACGAATATCGTCCGAAAGAAAGTTGAAGGACAGAAGAGAATCACGCTTAACAACATCGGGCCAACTGTAGATAAGCTAAACGGCCATAAGGAAAGTTCTACAGGTCAATAACAAACTCAGGTAATTGAAAAACGTGATAAGGTTCAAACTTGTTAAGCAAATGAAGTGGTGAACATAGGATCAAAACATCTATCTTTAGAACTTTAGAAAATGAATGTAAGCCTTTAAACCGTGCTTTGACTTTAATTCTTAAGAAATACTTTTAACTCCGGATCTGTTCGAAAAATCCCCTGAGATCCAGCAAGAAAAAATGCCCTAGCATACGAGCTATAACAAATCCATAGACTACCTGTAACAGAAATTCGTGAGTTAAATGTTACATTAATAAATTAAGCGAAAACCCCAATAAAAAAAATTAAAATTCCTGAAATCTGCATTCAAAACTCTCTTTTGAAAAGTGGAGCGAAGTTTTTAAGAGCATACCAGAAGACCACTGGGATTAAGGCAATTATAATGCGGCTTCGAAAAGACAACTAGACTACTACTATATTAAAGTGAAATTCTCTTCCACCCCTACCCTTGCAAAGAAAGCGGAAGTTTTTTTACATTTGGCTACCTGCAGTTCAGCTTATCAAAACCGTAATGAAACCAGTATGAAAGGATAAAACAGAATAACAACACCACCGACTTTACAAGAAAACCAAACTAACCCGTACAACTAGGACTTTCAAAGGAAGACATATCAATACATTTCCGACGAACGACGGCAACTTTGAGATTTTTCATCTAGAAAGAAAACAAGAAAATACATTTAACACTGTTGCTAGCTTTACACAATCATCACCAAAATATAAGACACAATTCTTCAACAGCGTTCCATTAAATT